GTGTGTGTGTGTGTGTGTGTGTGTGTGTGTGTGTGTGTGTGTGTGTGTGTGTGTGTGTGTGTGTGTCATTTTATTCATTCCAGTGTCACTTCGAATAATGGGAATAAAGCTGCAGTTCATGATAAAATTTCACATAAAATAAAGCTTTTGGTATCTTGAAGAAGAATACTATTACAGATCATTTCCAGTCCAGATGAAAAGCCAGTCATGTCACCTTCTTAACCATTCCTTTTTAAAACATGACCTTCTAGCTAAATCAAGTTTTTGCAGTCATAACAGCAAAATTTTGGATGTTTTCCTTTCTTTTAAACGTTTCAAAATACATCTCAAAACATCTTTAATTCCCCTGTTATTTAATTCACTATGCAAGAGCTTTAGCATTAAAACAAATTATTTATTTAAATTTTTACTTTGATCACCTAAATTTACGTTTTTTCTGTTTAATTTTGATTTTTCAGTTGAATTGAATGTTCTGAGTTAATATTTCTGTGCTTTAGTTTTTTTTTTGTTTGTTTGTTTTGTTTTTTACATCATATTGTACAACTCTGCTGGTTTAAAATGTGATTTATAAATAAAACTAAAGTGATTTGAACTTAAACTGCTGTTTTTAAATAAAATGAGGACCAAAAGGAGCAGTCAGGACATGCATTGTAATCTTTACTTACCATTTGTTTTGTTTAATAGTTTCATTTACAGTTGTAGGAGACTAAATCAGCTAAGCTATTATTATTGCATCAACATTTCTGAATGGAAAGTGTTTAATTAAAATGAAAAAGACGTTGGTGAAATAACAGCGAAATTGGTACAAATGACACAAAACTCCCAAATAAAAATTTAAAACAGAACAACTTGAGTTTTATAGATTTGCAAGAAAAGTTTATTAGTAATTAATTGTATTGTCCTGAAACACTCAGWGCTCATGAGCAATAGAAGGTTTAAAAAGAGTAGAGACAGAATTTATGATGGATTTTTTTTTTTTTTTGCATGAACAAAACTTCTTTTTTCCACTGACATGTTCAACAAAGATAGAAGGGAAAAAAAGCTGTCAAACACTTTGGCCTTGGCCATGTATTTCTGTCAACACCTGTAATATAGAATGTCCACTTCACTCCACCCCCCATGTGAAGATTTCTCAGAAAAGAGGCTTTATTCTAGGTTGCATAACRTTGTGAAAGGTATAAGTACTGTATGCTGCACGTTTACTTTAGGCTTTGGAGATACAGACATGATGAAGTTTGTGGTGCTTGCTCTGCTGGTTGCTGGTGGTAAGAATGTTTATGTTGCAAAAAGAAAAAAGTCATAAAATTCCTTTTGCACTGACCTGTGCCTGTTTGCTGCTGTTTTTACTTTCTCTGGTAACATCATTAAAGTTAATGGCAGTGTTGTGATCACATTTGGAGTTTGGAAAGTTTCTTTTATTTATTTAATTTTTGAACATTTCCTCAGCGTACGGGTGTGGCACACCCACCTTCCCTCCTGTGGTGAGCCGAGTGGTTGGAGGAGAAGATGTCAGACCTAACAGCTGGCCATGGCAGGTAAAACYTAAAGGGGAAAATAGAGAGAGAGAGAGAAAAATGTCCACAAAATAAAGAAAATTCTAAGTGGTAAAAATAATTTGATCTGTTTTAAAACAGAACAGGTTTATGTACGTTTTCTAAGAGAATATGGGTGAATAAGTGAATAAAAATGTTTAAAATGGAAAATGGAACAGCCAAATATTTATTATTACACTATTAGAAAAGTAAAAGAGATAAGAAAACATTTTCTATGGCTATAGAGAATTTTCCAAGAGACAATAAATTGAAATGAAATTAAAAATACACATGAAAGCATTTTCAAATGTTAAATGTGTATTTTACAGATTTCCTTGCAGTACAACAGCAACGGTGAGTTTAGACACACCTGTGGAGGCACTCTGATCTCAGACCAGTGGGTCCTGACCGCTGCTCACTGCATCAGGTAGAAATCAGAAAACTATAAGAACTTAACAGAAAAATATAAATATGTATGTYGAATGTTATTTAAGTATTACGTGCTTTAATTGAACTTTTCTTGCTTCTCATTGGTTAACTTATAGTTCAGGCAGGGAGTATGCTGTGGTCTTGGGAAAGCACAACTTGAAAGAAGCAGAGGAAGGTTCTGTGACCATGAGAACCTCCAACATCATTGTGCACGAGAAGTGGAGCCCTTTGTTCATTCGGTAATTAACAAATTCAGTATGAGAACTGGATGTAAACTAAGGGATTATTGATGAAACTGAATGTCCGTGTTCTGCAGCAATGACATTGCTCTCATCAAGCTGGAGTCCCCGGTTAAATTCTCTGACAMCATCATGGCTTCCTGTCTTCCCGCTGACGGCTTCATCCTCCCCCATGACGAATCCTGCTATGTGACTGGGTGGGGGCGCATCTACAGTGAGTTAACCCTGCTTCGTTTGATTGGACATTTTAGTAGTCATCAAGGATTGCTTTTTTCTCTAAAATCAAACAGASTAAATGTGAAGGCTCAAACAACAAAGTTCTCATTTAATAAAACTAGGGTTCTGCAAAGCATCACATTTTATTTATTTTATACAGTTAGTAACTTATTGATCTATTTAATTAGTCTTTTATTTTGAAGTAAGGCACTGGAACTTTTTGTTTTTGTACCTGAGCTTATTTAGATCTTCCTTCACAGCCGGTGGTCCCATTGCTGACATCCTGCAGCAGGCTCTGCTGCCAGTGGTGGACCATGAAACCTGCAGCAAATCTGACTGGTGGGGCTTCCAGGTGACAGAAAACATGGTCTGCGCAGGTGGAGATGGAGTTGTGTCCGGTTGTAATGTGAGTCTAAGAGCACTGACTGTCAAAATACATGGTGGTGAGATGAGACATCATGTCGTTATACAAATCCTCTGGGTGGGGGGCATTTACATAACAAACAATTATATGAAAGAAAACTTTACAGGTATAGGTAATAAATGAAGAGAGTCCTTGCTCACTGTGCTTTCTGTCACTTTACTATTCAGGGAGACTCTGGCGGTCCTCTGAATTGTCAGAATGCTGATGGAACCTGGGAGGTTCATGGAATTGTCAGCTTTGGCTCTGGGCTCAGCTGCAACTTCCCCAAGAAACCCACCGTCTTCACCCAAGTCAGCTCCTACATTAGCTGGATCAACTCTGTAAGCTCCAGAAACTCACTGACTGCCTCGTGTGACGTCTTCAAAAAAATCTAACATGYTTAACCGCTTTTGTTCACAGAAAATGGTGGCGTATTGATAAGGGCAGCTTTTAAGGACACAAACAAGCACATGGACACTTGAAAAAAAAAACATAAAAAAGGAAAAATAATAAAATATATATTTTCCAATGCCTTTTTTCATGTCTTTTTTTTTATTGAACTGGAAATTTTCTAATACTAAGAAAACATTGTAGCCTAAAGAATCACATAAATACAATTTACAAGTAAATTATTTAGTACAAAAAACATTTAAAATATACATGTACAATTACTGTTTTCACCAGTGGTAAACATGATGGGAAACATATTGCCAACCACCTGCTGTAGTCTCAAATATGTTTGACGCTTTGCATTTTGCACAATATATCAGCAGAATGAATACTGTCATAGTGTGTGCCTTGTGCTGTATGTATAAACTTTAATTTACAAACGTTTATGTTTTTATATTTATAAGGAGCAAAGTTACATTTACTRAGCTGTTGCCACAAATAACCAGCAGAGGGCGCTGGAAGCATAGTTTTGGATTCCAAATATTTAAATACACAAATCAGTAAGAGTTCAAAAGGTATTAAAAAAACAAATAAAAAAATTAAAAATGGCAGCTTTAAAAAGAATAAGAATATACCTTATGTTTTTCACAAAAATGTCATGACTTAAAATACAGAATTAGTTTAGTCACAGTTTTATCCACAAACACATTTGATTCATTTTTCAAACCTTTAAGTCATGTCAGCTCCACCCATAGTGACAACCAGAGGTAAAGAAAGTACTTGAAAGAAATAACTAAGTAAAGTAAAATTACCTTAACAGAAAATGACTGGTAAAAAAAATAATAATAATTTCACTTATAAGAAAAGTCCTACTTAAGTAGAAGTCATAAAACGACACAATAATCGGGAAAGTAAAAGTCGTTTTACACATGTTGTAAGAAACGAAGTGTTGAATTTACTGAGTAAATTGCTTTACATTTACTCAACTCAGTTTAGTGAGACCAGTTCAGATAACTTGGTTATGTTAACTCAATGTTTCTTTTTTTAGAGTGCATAAACAACTCTGTTCATGCTGAGTTAGTTCATATATAAATTTGTAACGTGTAACTTCAAGAAGTACAATATAATTGGTAGGGTTTAAATCTAACTAAATAAAAGTAAAATTCATGCTTTAAAGAAAGCTTATCACAAATCCTCAAAAAAAAAAAAACACTTAAAATTAGTTACACCTCTGCTGACAACAGATTGAAGCTGGATGGGCAGTTTGAATGTGACGGAGGAGAGCTGGTTAATGTTAACAGAGCAGATAAATTCTTCACTCATGAAAACAACAACCAGGTTTCAACCTCAATCCACATAGTTTGTATGTGTATGAGGAGTGTCAGTTATCAATTAACTTCAGTTTATTTTTTGCAGAGAAGATAAATGAGTAGAATATTTATGTGACRTATGACATGTTTTGTTTCTCATCACCACCTGGACAAAATGTACCACTTTGCCTTTTACAGGAGTAACATTGTCACTGTAAATTCAGCTTGTGCAACCAACAGGATAYTCCTACTTGACTATTTCAAAATAATTTTTTAAGTTACTTTAATAAGTGCTTATAGATGAAATTTTAAATTTTTAAACTGCTCATGAGTCAAAATTAGAAACAATCATTTAACCTTTGAAGTTTTTTTGTTGATGTTATCGCAGCTATTTTTCTATTTTTTTTAACCATTTTCTCTACATTTACATGGTTCAACCAGGATATTTTATTGTATTTATCATTTTCACCCCACAAACACAGTAAAAAAACACAAATTTAACAAATGCTCACTTTTATTTCTTATAAATATTTGAGATAAATGACTTTTTAAAACTTCTACAAAAAAAACTAAACTACATTTGTAATAACACCAATAGAAATGGTCATAGAAAAACACGTGTTCACAGTACATATAAAACGACAGATTAGAGTAATAAAAAGGCAGTCATACATGACAAAAGTTTTTTTAAGTTACATCTAAATACAAAAAACAAAAATGTAAAACGTTTTGACATCATTGTAAGAAAATAAACAAATTTAATTATTTGAAATTAGTAGTAAATAAATCTGCTGACAAGTTTGTGAAATGTAGCCAAATTCCAGTGACAATCCAGTAGTGAGGAGATGCTGCTGTTTTTAATATTAACTTGATGCAAAACTCAAAGCTGAACTAAATAATGACACTAGTGGAAGGCACTTGTTATACAAAATCAATTTAAGGTTTTAGCTGTGCAGTTTTACAAGATGAACACATTTACACTGAGTGACTGATAAGGCCAATCTGACTTCAGTTGTTCATGTATAAAAAAAGAAATTAAGGGTCCCAGGTAGTGATAAAAAAGTATACTGATGTAGCTTAAAGCATTTCCCTGAATAAAGCCTGAAGACTCTGCTCTTCTAACACTTGTTTTTAATGAAAATGTGGCTGTACGTCAAGCTGTGGATAAAGGAAGAGTGATGAGGCGACCAATGGGCAGCTGTTGTTATTACGGTGCAGCTGCACACTCAAGAGTCTGTTTTCTGCTCATCCAAAATAAAAAAATAACATCCCCCAAGAAGCTGAGACTACATTACTGCATTCACAACTCACCATGACTACTGAGTCAAAGCTTTMAACTATTCACCAAGTCCCCCAAAAACATACATTCTTCTGTCGGTCGTTTGTAGCAGAAAGAAGACTGAAACGACGCTCTGTTAAAAAATATATATATAATTATTAGTTACAAAATGTCCTAAAAATATCTGGGAAGCACTTTTACAGGAAAAAAAAATGCACTTTGCAATGGTTTAGTGTAAATAACTAACTGAAGGGCATGTAATGTTGCATTCAAAGTCAGACATTGGTAATTAAAATCTTTATCAAAAACACTCCTCTTGAAGTTTCCTGGAAAACTATTCCTTCCTTAAACAGTCTCGTGACTGGTTACCAATCACAACTTTAAAATATACTATTATTGCACTACACATAATACAATGCCCCTTCCATTTTCAGTCTTTAACCAGCAATATTAAAGTAGTACCATAACAAATTGACGTGTGTTTTATTTGCATTTTTTGTATCTTATAATTAAACATGTAAACCAACATGATACTTAAGTAAACAAAAAACAAAAAGTGTAAGCAAAAGAAAAAAAAACAAAAGAAAAAAATTCTTAATCCATGTACATTTAGTTCAGTAGCAGTTAGCTGTAGCTTGGCTGCTGTTTGCCAACTGGCTAGCATTAGAGAAAGCTTTTTTGTTTTCTGTTTAAACGTTGATAGTCAAAACTGGTTCATTAAGCTTTAAAAAAAATGTAAAGATACGTTTTTTTGGCCTAATTAACTATTTGAGTTAATGGAAAAATTAATTCTGACTGCACTGTTTAAATGCTCACAATGCCACATTTTCTGAGCCTGATTTTGCACTACTAGCCTCAGCTGGAATTATCTTGAAGTAAAAGGGTTTTGTTTCGTTTTTTGTTCGTTTTTCTAAAGTCGGATGTAAAAATAGAAGAAACTATATTTTGGACAATCAGGAAGATTTCCAGGTAGCATAACACCACAGTAAAAACAATACTCAGCCGGTTTGGTTAGCCGCTGGCAGCAAAAATAGGCCTACAGTGTGCAAATGGCAGCCATCACATCAAGCAAGCATACATGACCATTTCTACACAGATCCTCAGTGCAACCCTTCATTATAGTCTCCTCATCTCCTCTGCCTACAAGCAACTCATACAACAAGTGTGCAATGGAGATAGGTTTAATAAAGTAGCACATTAGGAGAAACCTAAAAGACAAAAAGGCATCCAAATAGTCCAATATGTCATGGTGTAACAAAAATCTGTCATATTATGAARTAGGAGTGATCATATTATTGTTCACCTCCATTGCCATGATCTAATGAGACCTACAATAAAAAAAATCTTCTTCTGTTCAAACATGAGATACGATGACACATTTGAACAGAAAACAGGGTCCATAGCACAACACGATAGAACATTTTCAGTTCATCAGTTCTTGGCTTGACAAGGCAAATCCAGGTCTACAAAAGATGGTAAGTCCAGAAAGTTCACTCAGTTATGTTGAAACTGTTGAAACATCAGGTACTGTAGGTATTAAAGTGGAGGCACTTTATCCTCATACTGTGGCGGTGGGGTAAGAGGTTCAATACTGATTCCAGGTGCTGGCTGAGAGGTGCCAGTTGTTTTCATGGGCAGTTTCTCTGACTTAATCCTCCGGATTTTGATGGGGAGAAGACTGAGGCTGTTTTTCCCAGGTCTATGGTTCGTTGTGGAAACAGCAGCGGCAGGAGCGTTTGAAGACTGGTCAGGTGGCGACACGGTAGTCGTGACCTCCGACTCTTCGTTCTCGTACTGTATGCCATCGACTTGGACCAGCTCGTCATAAGATGGCAGCTGGGAGATGCTTGGGCGAAGGTTGCTCTGACGGACAGGGTACTGGCCACTGCATACTGCCTCTTCATAGGTGGGGACAGCGTAACGTTGGGCTTGCTCCTCAGCACTGTAAACATTGAGAGATAAATTATCCTGTTAATCTCACAAAATGTCCTGACACATTTTAGCCTCTTTACCACACATCTGGTATATTAAAGGAGACCAATTATTGGTCCTAGAAATTTTTATGGTATGTCTGTGGGCTATCCAGACCATGTTCATTCAATTC